CCCGAGGCACTCAAGACGCTCGAAGAGGCCCCCAGGACCGCCCACAACCTCCCGCGACGCTCCAAGAGGAGCCGCAGAAGTTTCGAGGGGCATCCGAAGAGACGCCGAGCGGCATCCAAAAGGTTTTCGCCGCCCCCCTGAAAATATGAACGAGGCCGCTTCTCTTCAGGCAAACGCGGACTTGAGCCGCGATTCATTCGCGAGAGCGCAAGCTTCAGCACGACCCATCGCTGTCTGCCGCGCTACAGGCCGCAGCTGCCAAGCGGGCGCGCCCCCCGCGCTTGGGGGGGGCTTGATTTCTGCGCACCCTTCGGCCGCGATCGGCCGCCCGCGCGCCGGAGGCCAGCGCGGGCGAAGGACGCGGCGCAGACGGCAGCGCGTCAGCCATGGGCAAATGAGGACGCTGATTACACGCAAGCCGATTTGGGTCACGGCGTAAACACCCGAGGACCTCCCAAAACGCGATGCGCCGTTGGGGGGCCCGTTGCCCTGTGCAGCGCGCTGACAAGTGGCGGGCTGAGGGCGCGATTGCGCAGACGAGCGCCTGGGTGTCAACCGATCCTGAGCGAGTTTCTGGCAGATAAGCTTCCGACGGTAACGCGGGCGACTGATCAATTGAGCTAGCATTCCGCGGCTGGTCCCGGCTCGCGCCTGCCGCGCGCAATGCGCGCGAGCATAGGCTGAACAGTTGTCGCGGCATATCTTGCAAGAGCAGCGCAGGGCCTGGGTCGCGAAAGCCAGCAGCGCGCCAAAAAAGAAGGCGAGCACCGCGCCCGCCACCGACAGGCCCAGCGGCGCCAGGGCCCCCCAGATGCCCTACGAGCAGTGGCAGTCGCCCGCCTTGCACGGCGCCGCGGAGCTGCACGGGGAAAAGAAAAGGGCCAGCCGAAATCTCCCATCCACCGCATCGAAAGACCGTTTGAGCCCTTGCGGTCGCGGCCAGCAAGAAAGCATTCTGCATTTCTGGCAGCTTTCCTCAGCGCGCAGCATTCGCTGCTTTCGGCGGGCGCGGACGCCGCTGCGCGCGCCTCATCGGATCGCGTCGATCGGCATTGGTGGCCGCCGCTGTCGAGCCACGGGGCGCCCTCTACCGGCCGGCGCGTCGGCTCGCGCGAAGTCTCGGTCGGCGCGGTCCGCCGCCTCGATCAAGTAGTCCTCGCATCTGCGGGGCCGGCCCGCGCGTACTACCTCGCGGCTCATCTTGGAGCTGCGCTGCAAGTGGCGGGCGGCCCGCGGTCGAGATCCGAAGTCCTGGCCGTCGGACATGCGCGAGATGCAGCGTGCCCGAGCCGCGGCAAGTATCCGATGGGCACGGCGCTGGCGGCCTGCGAGGCCGCGCCGCGCGCCGCTTCTGACGCGAGTCGCACTGAAGAAGCTGCCGCGCTGGGGTCTGGGCTGAGCGCAGGGCTTCGGCCGCTTCGACATCGGCGGCCATTGGTGGAGGGGCCTGCTGCGCAATGGCACCTGGGCGATTCGGGGGGAGCGCGATCGCCTTCGCAATCGTCTTCCAACATGGGTGGGGCGCAGCGATGCAGAGCGCCCGCTGCGCCGGAGCCGCCGTTGGCGACGGCGGATGGCGCGGCCCCTCCGAACGCCCCCGCAACAGTGCGAGGGCGTCGAGATGGAGGTGGGCGCGCGGCGGCCAACGCTCCGCGCAATGGCCCCGAGGCTTGCTGGGCCGTCAAGCAGAAGCGGCAGCTGTCGCAGTCGCCTGCGCGCGATCGCCATGCCCAGGGCGGAGTGCCCAAGCTGCTCGCGCATCTGGTCTTCGCCGACGTCGGCGCAGCCGAAACGAGGGCGTCGCAAGACCTGCCGCCGCGGCCGCATGACGGCCGCCTGCGTTCGGAGCCCGGTCACCAAGTCTTCCTGCAACCACAGCTCTGCGCCAAAGTGGAGCTGCGGGCCCAGTGGCGGGCGCGCCAGGGGGGCGCGGGTCGCATGCGAGAGGTGGCAGGGGCCGAAGACGGCGCGGGCAATAGCGCATCTTGGTGGCCTTCGCCTGGGCGTCGAGCATGGGCCACCCGGAGGTCTGGAGGATCGCCCCAACGTGCTCGAATGGCGCGCGATGCCGCATCGCCCAGACTTGGCGCCCAGCCCTGGGTCGCCTGCCTCGCCCCGAAGCCCGCCGCGTGCCGCGCGGGCGCCCTCGCCGCAAGGGCACAGCATGATGGCCGTCTTCTCGGGGCCGAAGTTGAGATAGCACCTCGTGCAAGACATTGGCGGCCTGCGCGAGGCTGTCCATGAGCTGCGCAGGCGCGTCCGCCTCGAAGAGTTCCCCTATGTCGTCGACGTGCGTGGACTGATCAACGGTGATCTCCTCCAGATCGCCTTCAGGGTTGACGTTGGCGCGCCAAGGCGCGGCATCCGCGGGGGCGACCGTGCGGGGCGTGGCGCCAAGTTATTTGAGCCTCTCGCGCACCTCGGCAAGCATGATGTCGTATATAGATGGCATTGAACGTGATGGCACCGAGCCTGTCGCCCTGGCGCGCTCCGATGGTTGATGGGGCAACGGGCGTGTCGTCAATGACTGGCGTGACGTCGCGTCCGCCGTTGGGTCGCACGTGCGACCGCGCTGCGGTGTGCCAATATGCGATGAGCTGGGCCGCCGCGGGCTCGAGTTCGCCATCGAGCACTCTGGGACCGTGGACTTCGAGGTACTTGTGGACGGCGTGGCCACATATGGTAGGACGCCTCGTTGTATCAAGGTGGGGATGAATTGCGACCGAGACGTCCCTTGAACCCAGGGCCAATTCCCTGAAAACCGTGTCGGAAGCCTTGCTGAGGTCTAGCAAGAGGATGGCCCACCAGCGCCGAATAGCACCATGCCGAGAGATCCAGCCAGCGGTGGGGACTCCTGGGGAGGCCGCGCCACGTCCTTTCACACAGCCTGCCTGCGACTCGGGTATAAGCACATCCTGGTAGGATGGTAGAGGCGGCATGGCGACGAGGTCAGTGTAGATTCTCGCGTCTCGGCGATCACTCCGCGATAATTGTCTTGTATGAGGGTCGGGCCCGTCTTGTGGATATTGAAGCTCGTTCCTCCCTTCAAATGCAGTGGCGCCCTCTGCTGCAGCAGGCAGGCCTCGAAGAGTGGCGAGAGCGTGCGAAGGCAGTCCTCGCCCGCTGCTCTGACCACGTCGTGGCGGAGGGCGTCTATCGAACAACGGAGCGAGCGCCTCGCCGACAAAGGAACCGGCATTGTAGTGCGGTGCGGACGTGGCCAACGGTCGTGACTTGCCCTCGGTGCAAGCCGGCCCAATACGCAAGCCAATCGTCAGCGATGTCGTCTGGGCCGAAGAGCAGCGTGCCGTTCTCGGTGATCCAGGACGGCTGGCCTTTGGGCCGCTGGCCCTGACGTAGCTGTTTGGCAATGCGGTACAGCGTGGACGTGATTTCGCGGTCGGCTGCGGTGGCGGCCTCATAGGCAAGAGTCGTAATCCAGGCCTCGCGGTCTGCCTTGACCTTAAGATGACTGTGGGGAGGCGGATGATGATGGCGAGGAAGAGGATGACGAGTAGCATAGTGACTAGACGGTGATTTTGACCATAACGACGATGACAGTGATAACGCCGATGATGCTGCTGTTGAGGATGATGATGATCATGACGGTACTAATACTGATACTGGCAAAAATGATGGTAATGCTGCTGATGATGATGCTGATGATGCTGATGCTGATGATAATGATGATGATCATGATGATGATATTGATGCTGATAATGACGGCGGCTATGATACCCGAGGGGGCACGGGAAGCCGTCACGTGTGAAGCCTCGTGTCTCCTGGACTGGGAGAGTCGTGATGAGAATGTTGAGGATGATGCGGATGATGGGAGCGATGTCGATGATGACGATGAGGATGATGTGGATGATAATGATGAGTACGATGATTACGGTGAGGATGATGATGATGATGATGATGATGATGATGATGATGATGATGATGATGATGATGATGATGATGATGACGGTGGATGTTCCCGACCCTCTGACCACTGGACCACCTGACCACCTGACCCCCTGGCCACCTGACCACCTGACCGCAGGCAGAGTGAGTCACCACAGAGGACCCTTCGGCACCCCTTGGCCTGTCCCCTCCCCCGGGCCCCCCTGTTTTAGCTAGTGGAGAATAATAAAAGAAACAATTCCGCCATCGGGGACGCCTGTCCAAGAGCGCCGCAAAGTATATATCCCTACGGTGGCACGTCAGAGTCAACTGTCCAGCCGCACTGGAGCACGCGTCCCCGCTGGCGGAAACACATATGTTATACCGTCCGTCGCTGGGTAAATTCTGTTGCCCCTGATATGTATACTCGAGAAGGTTGCCGCGTCGAACTTGATCCGTCCCTCGCCCCGGGCAACCTCGCGCGCGCGCGGGCTCTGCCTCGGGGGGACGGGCAAGGGAGGCTCCAAGTGAGAATGTACCAATCCTTGTCTTCGAACGGCTCTACTCTTCAGATTGAGCATAGCACGAGGGGGTCATGTTGGGGTGTTCCAGGTCCGTTGTGATACTCGTCGGCGGGTCGAGAACGAATCAGCGCAATGGCAAGGGATGGATGGGTAGGATGTTAAATATGGTTCAAGCGCACCTAGCTTCCCGCAGCCACATTCTTCCTCGTCCCTAACCCCTCCTCCTCTGGCTCTTTCTCCTCGTCCTGGGGAGGGGGTGGAGCGAGGTGGACCTGCACAGTTGCCCTCTTCCGAACTCTCGACGCGTCACTTCGTGCGGAATGTGAGGCCAAGTCAACTTCGCGCGTTTTCGCGCCGCCCCCCCACTGGAACAAGGCAACTCTCCGACCGATACTCGACTCCTCCTCCTCCGCCTCCTCCTGCTTCTCCTCGTCTCCCCACACGCGATTTATCTTCGCGCACCCGCGGAATAATCCCGCGGGTGCAACTTGCAATCGTGTGGGTGACATACGTGGACTGCCTGAGGGCAGGTGCGGACTGCCTATGCCGCGCTGCAACGTGCAAGGGTGACATACGCGACCTCCACATGTGACTCTGGAGACCTAGACCTGCTTGGATCTGCTTGGACAATGTGGGACGCCGTCTCACTAGAAGTACGATTGCCCAACAACCAAAAAAGGGAGAACGACTCCGCTAGCGAGCATGATTCCGGGGACAAGTGGCCCTCAGTTTTGCGCACCGAACATGCGACATAGAACTTTACAAAATAACTCCTGGCTCCGAGTCCACAGACTGATGTTTGTTGCGACCGCCAAAACCTGCTTGGAACGGAGTACCGCGCCACTCCAACTCGAGGACAAGAATAATATCGCAGGCCGAACTCATAGCACCACTCTGACAGGCGCGCACGTGCGAGCACAACCCCTGGAAGATAGTAAGGGTCACGCCGTTCGGTGGCGCCTGTGCAGCGTGCACTCGGGGCGGCGGAAGGCGGGCTCACACTGGGGCGCCAATCTCTCCCTACGGACGGGAGCTGATGTCGCTCACTTGTTGAAGTTCTCCAGGATGCCCAGGGCCTCCTTGAGCGCTTCGATCTCCTGCTCGCGCTTTTTGCCGCGCTCCTCGTAGCTCTCCGCACCCTCCACGCACATGGCCTTGAGCTTGTCGAGCTCCTCTAGGGCGCCCTCGTGGAGCGTTTCTGCGTCCTTGTGGGCGTCCTGTGCCTCGACAATGGTCCCTTCGGCCTCCTTGATCTCTCCCTCCTTCTGCTCCTTGAGCTCCCCTTTCGCCGTGATGGAGTCCTTGGTCTCCGTCTCAAACTTCTCGAACGCCTCCTGGGCATCGGCCTCCGCGGTCCCCACGGTCTCAATGGTCCTCTGAAAGTCGGCCTTGATGACCTGCATCAGGCCGAGGACACCTCCTGACGCACTGCCTTTGTACTCGCCTTCGTAGGACATCTCCGGGGCCAGGTCACCCACGGTGTTGCCCTCGCGGTCGCCGCCTTCGGGGTGGAAACTCTCGTAGCCCTGAGGGGCTGGCGCCGGTGCGGCGCCGCGCTGGACAAGCGCCGGCGGGCCGCCCTGCTCAGCATAGTAGGCCTCCAAGATAGTGATGGCCTCCTCCACGGCCTCCAGGCCTGCTGTGGCGTCCGCAATCGTCTTCTCATTGGCCGTTTTCTCCTCGAGGCGTAGCACGGTGGCGTCGTTGAGGGCCTTCTGCAGCTCGGAGATCTCGGTGCTCAGCAGCGCGATGTCCTTGGTCAGCCCGGCGATCGCGGTCTCCTTCTTGCTGATGGTGGCCCCCTGCGTCTCCATCTCGCTCTTCTGCTCGTCGCGCGCGCCAACCGCCGCGCCGATCTCTTTGTCGCAAAAAGACTTCTGGTCGGCCTCCGCGAGAGCCTCCGCTTCAAGCCGGGCGATGAGGTCCTCGATAAGGCCACGGACCTTTCCGAAGTGGTCCTCTTGCAGAGCCACCTTTGCGCAGAAGGCGTTTGCACGCCGCCGCCCTTGGCTGGGGCCACCATGGGCCCTGACATGATGTACAGACCCTCCTGGCATCGGCTCAGAGGGCATCTACAGCGCGCATGCCTGGGTGAACAGAAAGATACAGATACTGCTAAATACTCCGCTGACCTCTCCCACATAATCTCAAGGTGAATCCACTGGTGGAATGGCAACGATGGCCTCTCAGGAGGCCCAAATAGGCGGAAACGATGTTGTGGTAGCGACGTCGGCACCTCTGCAGGATAGCCCCGGCCAGGCACGGCGGTGTGCAGATGCCATTTGCGGAGCCTTCGTCGCGATGGCGTTGAGCCTGGTGCTGCCGACGCGCTTCGCGGCCCCCTCCTGAGAGGCGACGATACGGGGGGACCCGCTCAGGGGTGGGATTATCGAGGTTGAACCGACGAGACATCAACGGCAGATCGGCGATACGCCCCCGATAGCGAATGCGCACGTTCCTGTGCGGGGGCGTGCTGTCGGGACCCCATCGGCGATTGGGGGTCGATGCGCTCCCCCCTGAGCCTGTTTTCTCCCCACACGCCCCTGCTCTCCAGGGTCTCGACCACGTGTCTCACTGCCCCGGCGGCCACCGCGGCACTGCCCTGCCCGCGCAGCTGGAACAGCGACACGGGCTTGGACACGTTCTTGGACGCCCTCGCCACGGAGCGGACGACCGCCGAGAGCCCGACGAGCTTCTTGTTCGCCGCGTAGTTCTCCTCGGCGGCGCGCCGAGGGGGGGAAGTGGAGAGGGAGAAGGCCTTCTCAAAGGCGGCGGGGCTTGTCAAATGCCGCCCTCCGGCTTCCGGAACAAACCCTCTGTGGCTTCGGAGACGGCGCAGAGAGCTTCTCGGAAGACCTTCCGAGCCTTCTGAGAAGGCCCGCCCCCTCTGCCTCCCCCCCCCCCAGGGCGCGCGCCGCCGATCTCCTCCACGCCGCTCTTCAGGATCTCCGTTGCCTCCGCGATGGCCTGGAGCTCGTCCGCCCGCGCCTTGGAGCGCTGGTCCCACTCCTCCGCGCGGGTCTGGCACTGCGCGGTGAGCTCGGCCTGGAACGCCTCGTCGCGCTCCTTGTCGGTCTCCTCCTGCTGCTTGTCCTTCTCCTGCGAGTGCTTCTCCTGGGTCTTCTTGTCGGACAGGGCCTCCTTCTGGGTCTTGTCCTCCTCCTTGAAGTTCCTCTCGTTGGTCCAAGAAAGCACAGTCTTGTCGGATATCGACTTCTTCTCCATCTCTGTATTGAAATAGTCCTTCTTCGTCTTGGCGAAAATGTCGCGGATCTCCATCAACGTCTCGATGACCGCGCTCGACTTGTACTTGTACGCGGCCGGTTTTTGCTTCAGCACCTCCGCCAGTGAGGAACTCGCCGCAGCCAGCGGGGCGAGAGCCATGGCACGGCCCGCCACTTTCTGCAGCAGTGACTCCGAGAGTTTGGCGTCCTTGAGCTCATCCCTCGAACTTCTGAGCACCTGCAGCGCATAGTCCACCGTCTTGATGGCGCTCGCCAGCTCATCGTCGTTCTCTTTGTAGACCTTGTGCTCCTCGGCCCGCGCCTCCACCTCTGCCTCGATCTTTCCCTCCAGCTCCTCGATCCGATCCGCCAGCTCGGAGATCTGCGTGCCGAGCAGGGTGATGTCGGCCTCCAGCTCCCCGATCGAGGCAGTCAGCGCCTCGATCTTCTCCGTCGACTTCTCGATCATGTACAACTTCTGATCGGCTTGCTCCTTGCAGAAGCAGGCGAACTTGTCGTACTCGGCGGCCTCCTTCGCGCCCTCCTCCTCGATCTGCTTCTCAAGCCCCTTGAGGAGCTGAATGACCTTCGAGATCGGGGTCGCGGCGGGCTCTAGCTTTTCCCTCGCCTCCACGGCACCCCTCTGCGTCGCCGGCTGTCGTAGAGTGGCGGCATTCGACAGGAGGGTGTGCAGGGCAACCACGAGTGCGGCATGTATGGGCGACATAATACGCCGCATGACCGGGACTTGATCTTCGTTCGTTGGGCAGGGGCAGGTTCCCTTCTCAAGCCAACATGGCTACGGTGTCATTCCAGAGGTCCGTGTGGGGTCCCCGGGGGTCTCAGCCTGAGGATCTGAAGCCCTTTCGCAAGTCATTTTGCACGTATACCGAACCTGTGATGTAACGAAGAGGACGGTTCACGAGAAAGCTTCGCAACTCCCCTGGCCCTCCACTGATAGTTATGTGAGGACTACCCAAACCCCCTTCAGTGTACTGCGACGTGGAGGCTGGGGCGTGGGGGCGGTAGGAGATGCGGGGGGGCCTCAACCTCTCACAAGTCCACTCGTCGCAACTGCTGGTCCGAACAATGTCCCCCCTGACCTGCGCCCCCGTGTAATAGGCCTGCCCAGGAGGCGCACACGGGTCGAGGGGGTCGTCATTGAATTTCTTTGAGGTGCACGGCGGGAGGGGGAGACTGGGAGCAAGGATTGAAGCAGGCGGTTGGCATTGGCTGGCTTGGTGCTGCGATTTCCGAGCGCATAACCACGGCGCTGAGGCGAGATATCAAGCTTGAAGACGCATCCCCCTCCATCCATACAGCGGCTGGAATTTCCAGTAACGTTAGGATCAGAAACGGCGAACGCCCCAGGCACCCCACAGCCACGACTAGTGGTGTAACAAGCATGTGTGATCTAGTTATATACGGATATGTGTCGGATGATGATCGGTCGTTCCACTGAATCACCCCCCCGAAGAAGGCGACGAAGAGTTACAAGGCAACTCATGGACGTCTTCGTTATAACGGTTCAAGGTAAAAAACCTACTATGCCCGTTTTCGGGGCCACCGAACCAGGACATGCCGAATTGAATATAAGTATCCGCCCGATCCGACGGGATCGAAACGGATTCAACGGACATAAACCAGTTCCAGCGGGACTCAGCCAGATTGGGCCAGTCATCGACTTGGGACATTCCAGCGCTGATTCTGAACTGATCCTCGCCTCATGAACTGCATCCTGACAAGATGCCGAGGTAGACAGAGATTGCCGAGATGCCGCCCGCAAATCTGGCAAACTTCGATATGTTTGACATTTCCTGGGCCTCGCACGCTCGCCATGGCGATTGCCGCAGTTGCGTCGCTCTTTAAGGATATGTGACAATCAATACCGAAGTCCTTGAAAAACGACTGAAGCCCCAACGCCAGCGAAGCGCCGTTGTCAATACTTCGCCTGTCCAGGCGATGCCGCCAGCGCGCTGCAAATTGAAGTCCGAAATTACGATACATGTGCCCACATCATATTCCTCCGCTTGTTGACTTTGGTAATTTCTTGCGCTGGGCATAGTCGGCGTCTCTCCACAGGGTTGTCTCCCTCGGGCATTATTGTTATAACTATTTAAACTCGCAATATCCAAACCAGCAGTGAATATAAAAGGTGCCTGCCTTACTTGGCAAGGTTTTCCATGGCCCTCGAGCTGGTGCTGACGTAGACCGGGCAAGGTCCTTAACCGAGAACTGCGCGTCCGAGCGGTATTGCGCGAAACAACTGGCGCGAACTTCTACAGCTTAGGATTTCTGCACCTCGTGACCTGGCAGCGGCTCCTCATCCTCGTCTTTGCAAGGTAATGCGTCATGCGTTGCAGCGCTCTTCGTGTCCTCTGCTTCGTGCCATCAGCCATCCCGCCCCAGCTTCACACGTGCACATGTTCGGTCCTGGACCGCGTCTACCCTCGCCCAAGCCAGTCGAGATCGGCATCATTTCCCAAAGCCGCGAAATCGTCTCCATGAGCCGTCTGTCAAACTCGCCTCGCGGCACGTTTGTGCATCTCGCCATTTATCTAACTGGCCGTTTGTCACGCGCGGCGATGCTGGCCCGCTGTCGGCGACAATGTCACGCGCAACATCCACGTGGCAATCTCCAACGTTGCTGGCAGCGCCTTGCGCGCCGTGCATCGGCTCGCGCAGCCTGGCACGCGCGCCGGGCCCCTGGTCTTCTGCGGGCGACCGGATGCAAATATTTCCCTTAGCCTCCGCGATGAAGAACGCACATTTAACGTCGATGAGCCTAGCCAAGTTGAGCCCCTCCTCGCGCTCTCCTCGGCTGCGCCCGATCCCCTCGGTAAGCGGGGGCTGCCGTTGGGAAGCGCCGTTTTGAAGCATCCAAGTGTATAGTGGCGGCACTGTGCTGTTGTCTTTCAAATCGCATATAACTCGCTGGGCCGCCAGCCAGGGCTGGCGCTCGGGGCTGGTTTCGTCGCCCTTGTCAATGTAAACCCACCTCCGAACTATGGGGGCTTTGCTTGTCGCGGCCCAACGCGCCTCCTCCTTCGCCTTCCATGGGCCGCGCGCCTTCCAGAACAGCCCCGCATCCTCCAGTCCGGGCCTTTGAGTTCAGGCATATGCGCCACCGCCTTGTCGGCGCATCACGCGCAACTCATCCGCGGTAGCTGGGCGTGCTTCTGCGATGATCTTGCGCGCCTCGCATGCGCCTGGGATTCTCAACCATCCTCGATGTCGACGCATTTTCAGATCCATTGGTGTGGATGGACTTCCTGGGCGGTTCGGTAAAATAAGCTAGTTGCGATGTGTCGCAATCCTCCTCTGAACTATCTCCTCCTCGCCTCCCAATGATCTCGCAAATCCCCCTGTCCACGCGGATCTGGTCCGCGTCCAAGTCTCGGGTAATCCCGCGCGCGCATGCACTCCATAGCGGTCCTTAACTTCCTGGCAGCATCAAACGAGTGATGCCACAATCCTCTCTGGCCCAAGTCAGCATGTTCATCGCGACCCTCGCTTTGGTCGCTCACCATTCCATCGATTTCCGATGTTGCGTCAAATCCGAACCCATTGTCAACTGGGTCGCACTTTCTTGGGTGAGCAGACCAATCGATCGACGACAAAAACTGGCTGGCCGAGGTCTTCGAACATAGCTCGGCGCAGCCTGTCCTGACATACGCATGGCATCTGCGCTTGGCAAACTCCAGTCAGGCAATGTGTCGACGTTGACCGTGGCGCTTCAAGCTGAGGGCCTTGCCGGTGCAGGGGCGGATTCATGAAATAAGTTGGTTGACTGATGAATGATTCTTCGCATTGTAGCAACTGCTTCAAGTCAGAACAGCACGCGTCGACTTCAAGCGCCCGCGCCCCCCCTCCCCGCCTGCGTTTTACCGTATTCTGCGTTGGTGGCGCGGTCCAACTCGGGGCCCCTGCATGGTATTCGAAAAGAAAAAAGGAGCAATCGTTTCCCTGAGTGCCGCGCGGATTTAACGCGAAGCCGAAATAATTGACCCCGTGGCCCACAATTTCCCTTCTCATCGCCGGCCCAAGTTTCCTCGATCTAAATGCTCGTGACATTCTGATGACCGTGCACATTGGGCCGCATATGGCAACTGACGCCGCTATGCTCTTGAAAACCGTCTTCGTCTTGCCGCGCATGGCGTCGCAATTGAAGCCCCAAGGGTTGCTGGGCTCGTCGCGCGCTGCTATGGTCGCGGCTAACCCAGGCGCGAGTCCCATCTCCTCCGCCGCGCCAGCAACTCAAACTGGCAAAGAGGCCTGGGGAACATGTGCCTGCGAGTTTTGCTGGCCCCTGCCCTACTCTCACTGTCGCCCTGATCTCATGGACCTGCCGAGCGACTTTCATGTCTGCCCTGAGCAATCACCCCACCACTTCAGCATCGAATCCCATCATGTTTACCCCAGCTCTGACTTAGCCTGCGTTCCTGTTGTCCTGCTGCGCTGGTGCCCACTCTGGTTGACCTCCTCCCGTGCTCTCGCATGCGGGCCCCTTTCTTGTTTCCTCTCCTCCTTCTCTAACACCTGGCCTTTCTTGCTGTATCTCCTAACAGTATTCCCCCTCGCGCCAAACTTCTCGGCCTCCTTCCCCATATCTTGAATCCTCAGCTCTTCTGATTGCCGCTGCTGACCTCGGCGGATTGACGTCGCCAAGGCGATCGGCGCCGCCTCCGTCTGGGCCGATGCGAAAATCGGCCCAGTCCGCCCAAGGCCCCCGCAACTCCTTTCCCCCGCCATTTTCCCATGCATCGGCGAGGTCCACCATTGCGCCAGCGACCCGGTACATGGCGCGCACCCCCCGCTCATTGCTGAGTCGATGCGGGCCTGACCTCCCGCTGGGAACGCGCATCTTCGCCCTGGGCCTGTGGCGTTGTCGACTTGCTCACCGAGCATTGAAAACCCGAGACTCAAGTCGCGGCTGCTCGGTGCCCGCGTCGCGCTCGGGGCTGTCGGGCCCCGCCCTCGTCTGAGCCGCTGTGAACATGTCTTGCCGTCTTGTCTGTTAAGCAAATTGGCAGCGCGTTCCCGGCGCTCCGCTCTGCGAGGCTTGTGGGCGACGCTCCCCCTGGCCATCGCCGTCCATGCGCAGCGCGCTGGCGCGGCCCCATCGACGCGCATCCCCACTCCATTCCTGCGACCCCTCCAGCCACTAACGGCTCGGCGTCAACGACGGACTCATGTTTCGGCACTGCCGTCCGCGAACTCATTCTACCGCGAGCGCCCGAGCAATGCGCGTTGGGATGCGGCTGCCAGGGTGGCCCATTCAAGCCAGTAGATTCCACGAAACTCCCCCCGCCCCCCCTTCGTTGCCCTTGCGCCGGAACTCGCGGGCCTCGAAGGCGGCTTCTGGGAAGTCGATGATTAACTCTTGGAATGACCCATTTACTTTAAGAGAGACGACTCCCCAATCCGGCTGTAAGATCGTTGATTCCTTCTTGTGGTAGAGCCTTCAAATGCACGATGGGCGCTCCAGACTCGGGCAGAGGTCCTACGAATTTGCGCGCCCGGCGCCTTTCATCTGCTGGCCCACCGCGAGAGCCCATTGCAAACGTGCCGATGGGAAGAGACGCGCAAGCGACTAACCGCGGCGCGAGGGTATGTTCTTCCCCGCTCCATTTCGCATGCATCGTACAACGCGCCTAGTCACGCTCCAATTTGCCCCTGCGATATTCTGAACGCCTCGTCGACGTCGCCATTCGCGTGGGACCCCCTCGCAGCTAGAAAACAAAATCACACCACTCAGCGCCTCGATGGAACATGGGCCCGCTCACTTGCCCAGCAAAACTCGGCCCCACATTCGCGCGGCGCCCTGGCAATG